ATATTGTATGGAAACTATGCTCTGTACATCTATCTACCTAATGCACATTTTTCCGATCATATACACCCCTTGCTTATGGAATGGTGAATGAAGTTCAGAGGCAATGCACGCCCCATTGAATTACATGTGCATCACCAGTTGCCTATACTCTCTAAATCCAAACCTTAAAATTTATCGCCATTGACAATTTCGCCTATCTATATCTATTGCTCGGCTTACGCACGTTTGTCCACACCGCTTAACGGTGGGGACACTTACATTGCATCGCAGTGTTAATTTAATACGGCCACGAGGGCCTGATATCTAAGCGTGTTCTACCTGTTTGGGTTCCTCTGTCATGGAGGTCGTAAACAATCAAGTAATGGTAACTGAGAATATTAACAACTCACAGAATATGGACAACCGTACCTTTGCATCTGTAGCAGGTATACAATCGGAGCCGAAATATAATTTTCCCGAGAGATCCCAAGGTATCATCTTTCCTGCCATTGAAGGAGTATCGCTATTTGATTACATTGTTGGAGTAGGTACCATAATAGGTCCAAAAAATGTTACGTTTGCATCTCGCATCTCGGGTGGGCGCATATGCATCTTCCTTGCGTCAAAATCAATGGTAGATAGCTTTATAAGAGAAAATAAAGGTATACAAGTTAAAGATAGCTTTATAGCAGCACGTAAGCTGGTATCTCCAGCAACTAAAATCATTCTTTCTAACGTTTCTCCAGTAATTCCAAATGACATTTTGTATGAGGAACTTAAACGATTAGAGTTAAAGCCGGTCTCTCCAATTACTTTAGTGAGTGTAGGCTCTCCCGATCCTAATTACAAACATGTCCAAAGCTTCCGTAGGCAAGTGTATATTGATTTAGAAGTAGGTTCGTCAATACCCCCTACGACGTTGCTAGCTTATGATAAAACGGTTTTCAGAATTTTTTTGTCGAATGACGATCTAGTTTGCTTTGTTTGTAAATCTAAAGGTCATAAAGCGTCTAAGTGCCCTTCAAACTGCAGCTCGAATAATAAAGAGTCAAATGACAATACCATGGAACAGTTAGTCACTCCAGTTCGACAAAGTCGCCAATCATTAGTAGAGATGGACTCGGAAGAGCCAATTAGGACATCCGAGGAATTGCAAGGTAGTGAATCAATGGTACAGATGGACTCGGTAGAGTTCAATAGGACATCCGATGAGTTGAGACCTAAACGGGCACTTGCGTCATCCTCTGCGGAGACTACAGCGTCAGGTGGCACATTTAAAAAACCCGCGAAAAAAGCAAAGCGTTCCGATTCAAAGGAGTCCCTATCGATAGAAAAGGATTCCACGTTGTTTACGGAATTTAAAAATGTTTTTCAATCGAAACAAACGGTTATAGATTATGATAGTTTTTGCAATTTTCTTATGCGTGCAAAAGGTCAAAGCAATCCCTTTCCAATAGCTAGTGAATTCTGTGAGGATAAGCAACAATTTGTTGAGTTAATGATTGAGTGTCGAAAAGCGGTCAAAACCAATCGACTCAAAGCACGCTTAAAACGCCTGATTACTGGATTCATTAAGCTCCTTCCAAGCTTCAATACGCCCACGGATTACTCAGAAAACAGTTCAATCGCTTCACAAGATTCCTTCTTATCGGACCAAGAGCTAGAATCGCTGTGCGATCCATCATCCTCTGAAACTGCGTAAACGTTTTATTTTGCTTATTTGTCTTTACTATTTTAATTTTATTTTACATATTACATTTTACATAATGCATAATAACAATAATTATAACAATTTAAACCTTTTGCAATGGAATATAAGATCTGTTGCTGCCAATAAACCGAATTTAGAATATATGTTAGCAGAGTGTAACATCCATATAGCCCTTTTAACGGAAACCTGGTACAAAAGTAACCACATAGATTTTTTTAAAAATTACACATTAGTAAGACACGATCGTACGGATGGTTACGGTGGCCCGTGGCGCCGCTATACTTGTACATAGAAATCTTCAATACACTCCGTTGAATATTAAATCTGATAATGCTGAAATTAGTGTGTGTGGGGTCAAGTTGCTAGATCTTGATCTGAATGTAATGTGTTTATATAGGCCGCAGGGTTACGCGAGTAACATAACAGAAGGCGAGTATTTGCACATGTTAGGGCAATTAGGGAAGAGGTACATGGTGGGTGGTGATATGAACGCACACAATAGGGCCTTTGGTTCATCTAAAAACGATAACGCGGGAAATATTCTATTAAAAGTAATAGATGGGACTAATAGCGTGTTTTTGAATGACGGATCAGTTACGCGCCTCGGGCGCCCAAACGAAGCGAGATCTGCAATTGATATTACATTTGCATCGCCAGGGATTGCTACTCATATCACTTGGAAGGTAATGGATGATACATATGGGTCAGACCACTTTCCCATTCGCATGAACTTAAATTTCAATTTACAACTCCAGTTCACCTATTACCCTACAACTCGGTGGAAAATAGATGATAAGAAAAGTCTAGAATTTTGTAATTACGTGGATCGAAGTCTAAACGCTAAAGAGGTACCCAAGTCCGCAGCAGAAATAATTGACTGTGTTGTGGATTCAGTGCAAAAGGGATGCGACAGTAATTTCGTATTAAGAAAACCTGTGTTAAAGAAATCCAGACCTCCACCCCCATGGTGGGACAATCAATGTTCTCATGTGGTACACTGCCGGAAACTTGCGGTAAAGAATTACAAGTTAAATCCAAACTTGGATAATTTCATTACTTGTCAAGAGACTATTGCGCACTCTAAAAGATTTTTGAAATACAAAAAACGCGACAGTTTCCAAAATCTATGTAATAACTTAAACACATCTACGTCCTCAAAGAAATTATGGAATATCGTGAGAAAATTTAAAAGATGTCCTACCTCTCACCACGTCTCGGAGTCATATATTGTAGAGTTCGCTGACAATTTAGCCCCGGCGTACGTGCAATCAGAAAAAAACCAGGAAACGTCAAACGTAAACGATCCTTTTTTACAACAACCATTTTCAATTGAAGAACTCATCAAGGCAATCAAATCAGCTAAGAATACAGCACAAGGTTTTGATAATATTACTTATCCGCTATTAAAGTGGCTGCCCACCGTGGCGAAGGAATTATTGGTAACTGCATTTAATAGACTGTACCTGTTTGGAGATAGCGTGCCCACCTTTAAAAAAATCATTGTTGTCCCAATAATTAAGCCCAATAAAAACCCAAACGATGCAAAATCATATAGGCCTATATCACTTTTGTCGTGTATATTTAAAACATTAGAGCGAATGGTCAAGAATAGGATTGAATGGTGGTTGGAAAGGAAGAAAAAGCTACAGTCATTTCAATTTGGATTCAAGCGAGGTTTAGGCACCGCTGATGCTTTAACAAAACTAGTTTCCGACATACAAATAAGTTATTCCAAAAAAGAAACAGTAGGAGCGGTTTTTATCGATTTCAAGGATGCTTACGGATGTGTGAAATTAGACATTTTGCAGAAGAAACTCATTAAATTGGAATTCCCGAACCAACTAGCCCAAAACCTGATCGGTTTGTACTCTTATCGAGAGATTTATATAAGAAGTGGCTAAGGTCAATTTATAGGCCCTAGATGTGTTTTTGAGGGGCTTCCACAGGGATCTATCAATAATTTGTATACGCACGACTTCTTGACTGTGCAGGATGATAGCATCAGTGTAATTCAATACGCTGATGATTTTATTATTTACACGTCACATAAGAATGTATCTGTGGTCAAGGAGCGTTTAAGTAAAGCCATTCGGAAAGTTAAGCAATGGATGTTCAGCAATGGTTTGGATATGTGTATTGAAAAATCTGCAGTAGTATTCTTTTCACGGAAAAGGCGATATAATTTGAACCCTGTGGTTTTAGATAATACACTATTTCAGGTCGTTAAAAGTGTTACATACTTAGGGATCAGATTAGATTACAAACTAAACTGGACGGAACATATACACATGCTAACTAAAAAATGTGAAAAATCCCTCAATATTTTAAGATTATTGACTAGAGTGGGATGGGGAATGGATTTTCCAACTGCATTAAAGGTTTATAAAGCACTTACAAGAAGCCTAATAGATTATGGTTTGCATTTATATGGAGCAGCATCAAAACCAAATTTAAAAAGACTCATAGTCATTCAAAATAAAGCCTTAAGACACTACATTGGGGCTATGAAGTCAACTCCTGTAGAAGCATTGTATGTGGAAGCACGTGAACCACCACTCGAGTTTCGAATAAAGTATTTGGCTTTAAAATATGTTACGAAAACAATCGCCCTAAAACTGGAAAATATTTACAACTCGCTACAAGAGCTTATGTCTCACGATTTAACCTCGGCTTTTTGGTCTAAAAAGAAGTCTCCTCCGCTTTCCGTGGCAAGCCTTTATCTTCACGAATTAAAAATTCCTCTTTGGATACAAGAAATTCCGGACGCTTCCTATCACGATTTTTACGTCGGAAGTCTGCCAACGTACTTCCCTAGTTATATAGGGGATTTAGATATGATGCGCAACTATTTTATAACACCTTAGACAACTTGAAATGTTGGGAGATAATATTCACAGACGGTTCTAAAAGCAAGGTGGGAGTCGGATGTGCAATTTACGAGCTATCGACTAAATATTCAAAGTTATTTAATCTTGGAAAGGTCAAATCTATATTTACAGCTGAAGCGACTGCAATATTAGAAGCATTAAAATACTTTTATGACCGTAATGTAGCAAAGAACCTGGCCATAAGTCAGATAGTAAGAGTGTCCTGGCCACTATCAATAA